CAAAAAATGAGAACAACAGCTTTGTCCCTATGCTTCTCCACAGCAGAATATACTAGTACCGTGTGGTATAAATCAGCACATGCCAAATAAGTGGATGTAGCTTTTATTAAATTATGCAGGGTAATTACTGGCTGCCTGAAAACTATCCCCATTGAAAAAAGTTCATTATTTTGCTGGTACTGCCCCTCCACAGGTATGTTAAGAGGTACTAATGAATAATGAATAAAATAAAGTAATAAGGCACCACGCTGATCCACTTCACGGATGCCAACCCCCTAGATGATGCCTGAAATCAAGGAAAAGCTTTCTGCACACATCTCAAACTTTAATTATTAAACTGGAAGAGGTTAGGCTAAACCTATGGGAAAACAAAGCAAAACAAAAACAAAAACAAACTCATTGCAACGAACACCCTGCCTTCCCATATATGTAACAGTATTAGCCTGCACCAATGGGAATTGTTGGGAGACAGAGCCAGAGTGAAACTAGAAGGGAGGGGTGAGTTTGAGTGCTGTGGTTGGATGTAGACAGTTAGAGGCTTGACAGTTGAAGAGTTAAGTGTGAAATGGAGAGCTAGGCTGTGGAGAGTTAAAGGTGGCAGTTGAGAGTGAGGATGCTGAAGAAAGTTAAATAAGGAATAAGTTATTAGGAAGCCAATAAATAGCTTTTAACAATTTATTCAAGTGAACTGTAATCAATAAACCTGTTTTGTGTTGAAAGTCACAAAGCATATGGACCTCAATCTTTCTGATTAAATTGTATTGGTAAGAACCAACTGGTGGCAGCAAAAAATAAAAAGGAACATGGCTCGTGGGTTTGAAAAATAAAAAGGAACATGGCTCGTGGGTTAGTGAAACAACCTGGGGGCATGCAGGAAAAAGGGTTACGTCACACCCACAAATTGCCAAACGGATGAATACTGAAGAATGCCTCACATCAGGACAAGACTCTAGCTGGACTATCTGGAAGTCACTTGATAGACTTTGAAGCAGAGTAGGAAGATCAAAGAATAATCAAGTAAAATGGGACTACTTGGATAAGGACCAAGTTTCTGTGACTGTGGAGAAATTCAATACATGCAGCACCATGCACATGCAATTTATGTCCCACCATACATACAAAAGAAGATCTAGTAAATGGTTATAATAATGCTATTGAAATAGCATAAAAAACGGTCAAATTATCTTAACGTTGTAATTTGTTCTTGTTTTTTACCTATATTTCATATACTGTACATCCACAGTTTTAAATTGTGCAACACTCTGATAAGGATAAAGGAAGAATAAGAGAATGAATAATATTTCGGTTATCATTCAGAAATAAATTGCATGGATAAATTGCGACTGAGCTTGTTATCCAATGATTTAGAAATAATACCATATTTTTATAAATCTTTTGCAGAAATATTCTTCTCTTATAAGCTGCTTTTATCCACTCAGCTACCTGCCATACTTTCTCTAACCAGTGTTTAAGCAAAAGTGTACATGCCTCTCTTAAATCAAACACTGTCGTGCTATGCCACAGAAACTAGGTAACTGAGTTCTCTTGATCTGTAGAGGTTTTTGCTTCGTGATACACGGTTTTAATTTTTGTTTTTAATGAGGCTGCAGTCTCTAATTTTGAGGTTTAATTTAGAATTTTATTCAAGTTGTGGCAGGGAATTCTGCAACCTTAAATTACAAAGTTCTTTTTTTGTTATCTTTTTAAGGAGTGTGATTGGAATAGGTGGTTTCTCTAATCCTGCTGCCGAAAATACTGTAGTTATCCTCACTCTATTCCTCTTTTCCTCCTCTCTCCTCCAGCTGTAACAGCAGCTGTTTCAAGTCACCTATGCCCCAACCTGCTTGCATGGGGGTTCAGTTTGTTAAGACTGAATGAAAGTACAGGTATGGAGGCTGGGCTGTTAACCTCTAAGAAACTCAGTGGGACCTTCTGAAGTGATTCTGCTGAATAGTGGAGGAGGAAACTCCACCATCCCCAATCTCTGATCTATTTGGCTTCTTGGTTTTCCTTCTGGGTATCTTGGTGCAGCAAAGATCAAAGAGCTACTAACTTAAAGTAGCATTAAATGAGGCCAGAATCTCTTGCTGTGACTCTTGTCACAAAACGTAGGTATTCTCTGACTCAAGTTAACTTGTAATTTACAGTACTTAGCCCTAGATCAGGAAGCTTGTGAGACTTTCAAAGAACATCTTTTCATACTTGCTGTGGTTCTTTCTGTGTTATTTTATCTTTATTTGTTTTTGCCATGCTTCACAATGGCAGAGAGAATCCACCTCTAAATCTCAGCAAGCTCGTATTTATTTCCGAGACACGGATAAACCGACACTATTGCCAAGAGCAAATAAGGATGCAGTTCAAATACGGCCCCTCAGATATACTGTACTTCAGCTTGTTTGAAGGGTTGTAGAAATATCCATAACTGTTTTGACATTCTGACACTTCATGCCAAGTGAAACTCTGATCTTTGGTGACCCTAGCTAAGTTATACATTGAAGTGGTACAAAAATGTTTAACCTCCAAAGCATGCATGCCAAAAAGCATCTTGCTGAAGTCAGTTGAGCCACAGGCATCTCCTATCATTCCTCACCATTGCTAAACATTAATAGTTTCTTCTAAATCTGTGGCTAAATATCTTATTTGTCCTCAGAAGTCCATGCAAAGGTGAATGCTCAATTTCTGCTGATACCATCCGATATCTAATTTTTATTGCCTAACATTTAAAGAAAACTGTGACTAGATTGCAGATCAATTTCTTATCTGACTAAAAGACATTGTGGAAGCTACGGGACCCAGTCACAAATAAATGCAGGTAATTTTACTGTGACAGGCCATTAACTATGGGCATTTTAGCTTTATGGCATTTCACAATAAATGCCATCCAGGAATTACTTAGCCACTTTCCTGCTACTTCCTAGTCTCATGAGATATTTCATTTAGCAATGGCACTTGAGGTCATCTACATGAGTTACAACATTGAGCAGAAGGGATACTCCTCTGGCACAGCCAGAATAACTCAAACTTGGCTTCTCTTCAGTGTCTGATTCTGGATATGATGTGCACTTTAAATTAAATGGGAGGAAAAAGGTGAGAATGAAGTAGAGTTTAGAACTTGAAAAAGTTACATTTTTGGATGACAGGTGGAATTCCTCAGCTAGCATGCCCAATGACTATGGTACATGCGGAATTCTAACAGCTGGTATCCAAAAACTTATTTTTTTCCAGCTCAGGTAGAGTTCATCCATCCTTGCCTTCAAAGACATGCCACAACTTTCATGGTACAGGAAGATAAGAGCACAAGATGAGGCAGGCACACCTGATTCTAAGGGATGAGATCAGGTGATAATATATATGAAAGTGATCCATAAAATTTAGTACAGTACTTGCCCAGTTTTGTTTGTTGGTTTGGTTTTTGCACACTGGACTATGAAGACCTCAGACTATATTCAAAGGCCACCATTTACTAACTTTTTTTTAAAAGTACCATGTAACAGAAATGGAACAAACATCATTTCAGTTGACAGTTATAATTACAATATTAATCAGAGGTACTTGAAGTGTGGCTAAGAAATGTTGGATACAACTGTTGGAACTGTTCTGAATACCAAAAATAGTTGAGAGCACAAGTTAAAATTAGCAATGGAAAATAATTTTGAGTAAGCTGTAAAGTTAATAACAGTTCAATTTGTCAAGGATATAGTGTGACTGACAGCTTTACAGAGTGACAGCACCATCAAGATGAAAAAGTAGGGATGCAATAGACTTGTATGACTTAGAACTTTACAGACGGCAGACAGATGCCTGCCTGCTATGTTTCTATAGTGTACTGATTTTTCAATATTGCTACCATCTGAAATGGTTCTGCAACTGGATATAAATCTGCATGAGTTATGAAATTTCTCAGAAAGCTCACAGCATTAGAAATGAAATTGATATTACATGCATATGGAGGATATTGCAGACTTAGAGAATTCAATATGCTGTCAAAACTAAATTAAAATAGGGCAAATAATATAGTTCACCTCATTTGGGAAGGATTTTTTCCATGAGATTTCTACGTCTACTGGAAGAGGGAATGGAAGCAGATATGTAAGATGAAGCCAGGGAGGATATGGAACCAGAAGTAGTATGCAAATACGGCAAAATAAAATAAAAATCCACAAGATTAAATCCAAAGGGGGAGAAAACATATACCAAATAAATACTCCCACCCAATTTGTTCAGTCTCTGAGAATCAACTCTTTAAATCTGGTGCAAGACTTAGCATACTAAAAAGGCAGAAAGGGTTAGTATCTCAAGGTGTGGGGGAAAAGGAAGCCACAGAAATCGGGGTTACTTGTCTCATTAGTGGGTGGGATGAACTGCTTTATCAGAGGGTCTGCACATTCTGAAGGAAAATAAAAATGGTCCCTACTTTTGTTTTCTAAGCACTTTCTGGATTTTGATTCGGCTTTACAATTCAGTGGAAAGAACCATGGGAATAAAGGGAGAGATTTCTAGTTTCATTTCAAGTCTGGAAAGTGACAAAGCTTGAAGCAGCAAAAATACAGGGAACTGCAGATCCAAGAAGTCAATTTTTCAAGCTCTGATACTGATATGTCTGCTTTTCCTTTTTTGGGGTGGGTGGGAGGCAAATTAAATCTACAGAAACCTCACTGTTAGAAGCAATGGTTCCTTAAGCATTACAAGCTGTCTGATTGTAACCCTACAATCTTTTCTGAACTCCTGCTGCTTGAAAATTAGCTTGCTTTGTTTTGTGATTTGGTTGGTATACTAGAAATAGTACTGGCAGTCTTCAACTGGATGCTACAGCCATAGGGAAAACTCATTTTCTTTCCAACAGGCTTTCAAAAAGTTTGAGTTGATGACAAACTTGAGTGACTTTCTCTGGGAAAGCTTCAAACATAGTTTATGCACAGATTTAAACCCATGAGGGCTTCATGACAGCTGGAATGAAATACAACTGGGAAATCTGAAGAACATTTCAGAGGGGTACTTACATTGTGCTTTGTGAGGTTGGAAATATTCGTTGCTATCGCTTGTAGCCAGTCAATACAGTCTTCACCAGAGAGACACTGGATTATTCCACTACAAATGCCATCCACAGCGATCACTTGGAATGCATTTTGTCTATAGACAAATCATAACAGTTCAGGTCAGAAAGCAAGAGGATCTTCTCCAACATTATCAACTGAATAATACTCATAGGAGAGCCTCAAAAGAATCCTCTCATCCACCTTTCCACCACAATAAAAGTCAACCGTTGAATTCCTGCTGCTGTGCCTGTTTTATGTGGCATTTGTCTCTATAGTTACCTTTCGTAATGTGGTGTATATCCAGATAAAACTTGGCAAAACCAGAAGAACCAACTGAACGCTGGTTGCTCACACTGGACAGTTTTCTAAGAGGACATTACTTGTAAATGCATGTCCTCTGACAGCATAGGAGCTGCAATTTGTGGTGAATAATACTTTTTCAGAAGTTTTTGTGTCATTCTGTAATCTGGAATCATCAGCATGGTTACAGAGCAAGGACTCAGGATTCTTGCTCATGTGTAGAGACTATATATGACAGAAACCATTCCTCTTTGCACTCTTTATTGCTTACATTACCAAAGTAATGAGGGAGGGGGCAGGCCTAGCTTCTCTTTGGTAACTATGTTGATGATTCCAGATTACAGAAAACTGACAGGGCTTATATTTTTGGCCATACTGATTCTGGTTCAAAGTCAGCTATGCCACTTCTAGTCAATTTCATACTTTCAATATGGAATCCAGAATATCTGCCATAATAAGCAAGGAGAAGTAATTTCCCTTCTGCATGAGCTAGAACAATCATCTTGCTGTTCAAGTGTAGGTGATCACCGAACAAAGGAAGGCTAATTGCCTTAGAGAGAGAACAAAGGAGTCAACAACGGATGTCCAAGCCAGCAGAACATACAGGCAACGCCCTGAGAGCTCTTTTATTTACTTAGAATGATTTACATAGTATGTTGTGAGAGAAGCAGATAGGATACTAGTTACCTAATCGTAACCAGGATTGGCTAAAATAACCCTTTGATCTTATGCTCTACCTCTAAGCGAAAGGGCAGAATAAGGGGTTACCCCGCATGCTGGCAGCTGCCGCTTCCTGCCAGGAGTGTATGCACGTCACTGGAACAGAATGCAGCTACAGCCTTTAAGCAAAAGTTTCCCACAGCTGCTGGAGGAGGCATGATTAAACGTTAGTCTGTTTCAGCACATATAGCAAAATAGAATAGAAACAGAAACAAAAAATTAATAGCACCTTAAAAATAAATAGATTTATTTCAGAATGAGATTCTGTTGATTTCAAATAATTTCCTCAGATACATGGTGTAAAATATTTGTGAACAGGTTTCTATAACATCACATGCAGTCTGTTTAAATATAGGATTTGGGGACAAAAATGTTATGTCATTAATCAAGAAAGAAATGTGACTGATCAGATGTATGCTTGTATTTCCTTTTTATTTGTTTCTTAATGTTATCTTATATACACTTCTAAGTCTCAAGAACAAGAATGAAGGGTGGTATAAAATATATTTTTAAAAAAATCAGGCCACAAGGTAGATAAAATAAGAGATGGGAAAGAAATGACATATTATTAAATATCAAAGTTGGTGGCACAAAGCAACTAAAACAGCATGGCAGTCTATATGTTTCTACTAGAGATGGGCATGAACCACAGTTTGGTGATTCGGCTCAATTTGGTGTGGTGCCTGCACATGTGTTCCACAGATGCTGTCTATTCCCCTCTCCCGCCGCCTCTGAGCTCTCACACATTCTCTGGCTGAAGTGTGCTTCCCTTCCCCACCTCCTCAACATGACTGCTCACCCACTGACCACAGTGAGTGCTTCCTTCGTCCACTTCCTCCCTGCCCTGCCTCCTCATCTGAGTGAGCAGCTGCTGGAGGAGGCAAAGGACAGAAGCATGTGCTGTGATCAGTGAGTGGGCAATTACATCGAGGAAGTGGGGGAGGGAAGCATGTGTCAGCCAGGGAATGGGCAAGTGAGCAGAGGAGGCAGGAGAGGGGAGTGTGTGGCATCTCTGGAACACCTGTGCAGGAACTGAGCTGAATTTGGTTGAACCACCAAACTCTGGCTCATAACTATCTCTGGTTTCTACCCAGATATAAGCCCCAGTGAGTTCAGTGGGGCTTATGCACAGATAAGTAGTAGGGCAAAATGGAATGAGAACTGGTATTGTGTAGTGGGCAAAGTGTTGGGCTTAGACTAAAGAAATTTGTGTTCAAATCCCCCTTTGGCCACAGAATCTTGCTAGGGCCTCATGAAGAGCCTCGTGGTGCAGTGATTAAACTGCTTTACTACAGCCAATACTGCACTCACAACCCGGAGTTCAATCCCAGGTATCTGGCTCAAGGTTGACTCAGCCTTCTATTCTTCCAAGGTTGGTAAAATGAGTACCTGGCTTGCTGAGGGGAGGGCAATGTATAGCCTGCATAATTAACTTGTAAATCACCCAGAGAGTGCTTTAAGTGCTATGGGGTGGTATATAAGCAGCCCACTTGTTTTCAGGGGATGGTAATAACAAATTACTCCTTGAACATCTCACATACTTTTCAACTAATTAAAGTTGCCATAAGTCAGAAGCAGCCTGATAGAACACAACAATATCTCGACCTATTCTTATACTTACAATGTTACATATAATTCTGTCCTGTAGCCCCAAGAACCTATGGGAATCATAGAGCCTAGTGGGGAGGGTGGGAGATGTAGTATCTTATAATCACCACTGTGTTCCCATATAAATTCTCACATGCTCTTTCCTTCCTTCCTTTAAACAGTTTAAAGTTTATGGAATTTTAGTCTGTTTTCAGAACATAGAAATGGCAGCCAAAACGATATTTATAGCAATCTTTACACAATGCAGTATATGTAATTAGAAATTATTTTATTTCCAATTGAAATGTATATGGTGCTACATTATCACCTGTGGAGAAACTGACAACATTCAAGATTCACCAACTATGCAACCGAAATGGTGTGTGTGTGTGCTGTGATTCTATAAGAGACAAACATAAATACGTACTATTTAAATGCAGTATTAGTGGTTCTCGAAGATTATGTTTTCGTCGTCCTAAAGATTATTTGGGGGGAAAACAGAATCTTGGTAATGTTGATTGTAACTCTAGTATTTATTCCAAATGAGGGATGGATTATCTCTGTAAATCCAAGGGCAACATATGTCTATCCTTAGACCTCGAAGGATTACACTCACTCCCTTGGCTCGCTCCCCTCAATTGTTCTTAAAATATTTTTTTTTAACCTGAAAAAGCTCACTTGTGCCTCCTGGCACACGTTTGCCAAAAATTAATATGGCACACTGCACTCTAGGGGAGAGATACCTTTGGAACTGTTGGAAGCTTCAGGAGTTTGAGCTCAACTTGATTTGCACTCCTGAACTAAAAGTGAATCTAAAATAAATTACTTTTCCAAGGGGTTTTGCATCTCCTGAATGTCCCAGCGCAGTTGTGAACTCAAGAAGCATATCAAAATGCATTTTAGTATGTGTAGATTTGTGTAAGAATAGGTTGAGATGAGTAATTAATTATTTTTAACTTCTCTTTTTTGCTGTTGTTTAATTGTTGCTGGGAACAAAAATTAATGTAGAAATAGAACAAACAGATTTTCAGGTGCGCTCCAACAAAACTGTATAATGTATCTATCATTATAAAAGGAGGCCAGCCAAGTGTTCTGTGTCAGTTCTGTTGTGCACATTTACTTTGTCTGTCCTTAAGGACTATATACCGATTTACAGTGGGGTCTTGACTTAAGAACGGCTTGAGTTAAGAACATTTTGACTTAAGAACCGCTCTCATAGGAAAATATTGACTTGACTTAAGTACTTAGATTTGAGTTAAGAACTGAAAAAAACCCAAGTGGGAGGCAGGGAAAGTGCAAAATGTGAACTTTCAGTTAACTGTTGGCCAGTGAAAAGGGTGCCTGTCTGCTTCCTCACTCCTTCCAGTGTTTAGAGAGTGGATTGGGAGACAGTCTTCAGACTGCCTGGTACTGCCTGGACTGTATTTTCCCTGCCTTCCCTGAACCTTTCTTGACCTAAGAAAAAAAGAAACAAAATATCCCCCTCTAGTGGTCGAAGGCGGAATAGCAGCTTCCCATTAGTTTCTATGGACGGAAAAGAGCAGATACGGATTAAATGGTTTTCAATGCATTCCTATGGGAAATGCAGAGTTGACTTGAGAACTTTTTGACTTGAGAACCACCTTCCAATACAGATTAAGTTCTCAAGTCAAGACCCCACTGTATTGCCTGCACATGACAGGTAATTATGGCACCTAGAGAAACTGGTCACTAAGGCCCTAATATCTTTAGGTAATAATTTTTGCCACTTAGCCTAAAGAAAGTTTCTAGGTCTATGTGTCTTAAAGGTCACTAGAATAGGACAATATTTAATGGCCAAACTTAACTCTGACCTTGCCAGAGTGGAGACTGCGTGAATGTGAGACCGTCCAAATCCATCGCCCTTCCTGGAGCAGACCATTTTAGTAGACTTTACGCCATAATCCTACAGAAGCTGTAGGTTCCAGTATGCCTAAATACTATCACACAGTGATCTGTCAATGACATTGGTACAGTGGGATTACAGAGAATTCTTCCACACCATCATCACCACCCAGATAAATAAATAAAATTTAAAAATCTGATCCAGATTTGGGGGTAGATAACTCTTGGAACAGATCCTTGATTCTCAGGAAACTGCTATGAGTGCTATCTTTTAGTGGAAAGGTGGGGTACAAATGTAATAAATAATTTAAAAATAATAATAAAAGAGTATATAAAAACATGAGCTGCTGTAGAAAAAGCAGTTCAAGAAATGGTTACCTCCTAGCACAACATGCTGAGAGAACTCCAGCACCACTACTGAGACCTGCTCCACTACCCACCATCTCTATTTGGTCCCCAGCAGTCACTTTTAAAGACATCTTGAAGCCTTGCAGACTGTAGGCCTGGGCACTTGATGAGGGGGATAGACTATATATACTCCGCCTCCTTCCATATGAGCCTACCCGGCAGTTAAGATCTAGCCAGGGGGCCCTTTTGAAAGAGCCATCCCTCAAGGAGGTAAGAGGGATGGCTTGTAGACAAAGGGCCTTCTCGGCAGCTGCCCCCAGACTATGGAACACCCTCCCAACTGAAATTCGTCTGGCGCCAACGTTGATGACATTTTGGCGCCAGGTCAAAACCTTCCTGTTCTAGAAGGCTTTTAATTGAAATAACATTAACTGTGGGTCCTGATGATGGCAATTTTAATTGTATTTTAATTGTATTTTAATCATTTTATTTTTATTGTATTGAATTTTAATTATTGTAAGCCGCCCAGAGACCTCTGGGTAGAGTGGGCGGCATATAAATTAAATAAATAAATAAAATAAATACTCTCTTTCTCTTTCTCCAACATCATCTAGCCAGGTCTCCATAGTACAGGCTAGGCCAGCATCTTTACCTAGGATGAAGTCCTAGATAGTTTGTTTCTCCAGCTCAATGACATGGCATTTAGCAATGGGATTTGCAACCCAGGAGGTCTGTTTGAATTGGAGGACAACCTGGAGGAACCAACACACCATAGCTCTTCCCCTTTCCCATGACAATACAACTGTACCTCCATTCCATATCCCTTTTTGTTTTTTATAATTACAAAAGCTGCTCTATTTACCCTGTCATTTTCTTTTTTCTTAGGAGAATAACCTTTTCTAAGCCAGCAGGCAAGAATCCAACTGCACTGTTCCATGAGAAAGAAATATCACTCATCTCTCTATATGAAGCAGGTGGTAATCCTTTAGACCTCCCAATATGACTCATCTCACATGCATTATAAGAATGTATAATCATGTGATCATCTTATTTCAGCCCTTAATGATTGCTTAAATTTTTCTTTTATATTCCGTGCTGATTACACAACTCTAGTGTCCAGATTCAATTTAGTAACACCAATATACATTTTAAACTTGGCTAAAGGTTTCAATTTCCTAATGGGATTAGTATTTTAAATACCTTTGTTGTAAAAAGAAAAACAATTATATACTTCTCCAATATCTAAAATCTCAGAGAGTTTTTGTATCTTAGAGTATTCATTATACACATTTTTTTAATTATTGGCAAAACTGTTAAGAAGTCAATGCCTAAGGCCATGGATGTAGAAAGAATACAAGACCATGCTCGGTTTGCAAACAATGCCTCAGGATAAAAATTGGTCTCTTTTTCCTTTGTCAAGCAAAGCATATGGACACCAAAAGCCCAGAAGCCCAGATGCTGTTTGTGCAGTTTGCACAACAATTCTCCCCACAAGTGCAAAACACTTACTGAGACTGACAGAGAGTCTCTCACTAACTTGCCGAGAAGAACAGTTTTATGGTTTCTCAGTTGATGGCTTACATTCCTAGTTCTGGCTATCATTATTTCTTGTAGGAATAAATGCCACCGTTTGGCTGAGTACCCTATGAAGAACTATCTTTTATCTGTACAATACTGAATCTATCTCAACATACAGCTTCAACAGATGACATCAGAGTCTGCCTCAGATCCTTCCGTCCGCCCTCCCACAAACAACAACAACAAAAAAACAGAAAGTGAACACTCTTCCACACAGAGAATATATATTTCATATCATATTACCTGCACATATCTGATCCTGGTAGATATTGTGAAAACCGGGAGTGAAGGAGTGGAATTAATCGAAGATCACACCATCTCTTCTCCCACCTAAGCCCTGGAGATGTAGGCCATGAAGAACATGAAAGGGTGTCCTAAAAAAGATTTCAACACCTTTCATACTTGGGCTTCTGCATCAACACCAAAAATAAACAGGTATTCCTTCTTATCCTTTATTTTTTCCAATTTAAGGCCATGAGAACTTCCTCTGTAATAAAATGCTATTCTCCTAACCTTACTATAATTATGTAGATTGGTGAGCTGGTGGCTTTTGGACTGGCCTCATCCACACTGAGTACTGGGTGATGGTCAATTAAACCAACCTATTAAAACCAGAGATCAACCAGAGATCAAAGGCAAAGGATACGGGCCAGGTTTTAAGCACGTTGGTAATGGTCACAATGGATTATAGTACTGACATGCACAGGGCAACAGAAAACCATCTTTATCATATCTTTAATAGTGGGTTCAGATCTCTTGAGAACCACAAAATTACTCTTGAGTAAGTAAGTTTATTGCTATAAACCTAGACATAATAATTATGCATGAAACACACATAAAACTATAAAATGATAAAATGCCAAATATCTATTAGTAATTGTATAACTCTAATGGAAATGTCCACATTCTTTAGCTAAGTGTAGTATGACAATTTAGCAAAATGTTTTGCAGGTTAAGCACAAATAATATTGTCTCTGATTTTAAAAGAAAGCAAAGTGAAAAGCAGTCAGAATCAAGGTTTATGTGACATCTTAAAACAAGAAACAGAATGTCTAAATATAGCAATACTTGATGTAAGAGTATTAAAGTGCACTGAAATCAGATATTTTGAATCAGACAATTACAAAGTGTTTTACCCTGGATATTACAAACTCAGAAGAAACAGCACAGCTCTGCCACTGAGGCAACATGCAGAACAAGTAATTAGATGCTATAATGAAAAAGCTGATTTAATGATATAGGTCGGATTTATTGTAAAACCTATCAAAATAACCATTATTCAAATCTATGCTTCAACTACAAATACGGAAGAAGAAATAAAAAGGAATTATGTAAGTGTACAGTAATTAACTGATCTCACACAACTAAACAAGGTATGATGACAGTCACAAATGACTAGAACAGAAACATAAGAAATAAACAGGAACCAAATATTGTTGGAGAATTTGGCCTGGAAATCAGAAATGAAGCAGGAGATCAAATCACTGAATTCTATAAAGCTAGTAACTTTTTTTTACTGTAAACACATGCTTCAGACAATCAAGATGCAGCTATATACATGAACATCATCAGACAGCCAATACAGAAATCAAATAGATGTAATCCAAACCAGTAGATGGATAAGTTGTATTATCTTTGCTAAAACAAGACCAGGAACAGACTGTGGTACAAATCATGAACTCTCAATATTAGAAGTTAGAACAAAGCTGAGAAAAAACATGAAAGGAACCATAGTGTCAAAATATAACTTACATAACATTTCAGATGAATTTAATGTCCATATAAAGAACAGACTTCACTAATTAACTCAATTAAACATGAACTGTGGATTAAAATCAGCTAAGTTCTCAGGGAAGAATGCAAGAAGACTATTCCTCTAGTCAAATGAAAAGAAAAGCCAAACTGGATGACTGAGAAAATACTTAAAATTATTAACATGAGAAGCAAAAGTAAAATATGATCAAAATGGAGTCAGAATCTTACATTTTCACTTACTATCATGCAGAGACAGAGATAAATATTACAATGCAAACTGCAAAGAAAGAGAAGATAACAACATAAAAAACATAAGAAAGTTTTACATATGACCCAAGAAATGAAAGGAAATACAAACCTTTGCTATGGATACTGAACAATGAACAAGGAAACGTACTATATACTATCTAGCCAGGACAAAATAAAGAGAATGTTGAAATAATATATCTGAGAACTATGCAGATGGGCCAAGGAGGAGGGTCAATTTCTTTGAAGACGAATCCTATGATGGAAAGCATGCAATTTTAGAAAACAGAGAAAGTGGCTATCAAAACAGTTGGAAAAAATAAATCCCTTGTAGAAGATGGGATACCAACAGAACTATTTAAAGCTACAAAGACGGAATCTGTCAAAGTCCTAACAAGAATGTGCAAACAAATACATAAAACACAGCAATGGCCGACAGGGTTGAGATATTCAATATATATTCCAGTCTTCAAAAAAGGAGATGCCAAATAGTGCAGTAACTATAGGACCATTGTATTAATTCCCTGTGTAAAGAAAGTGCTGTTCAAAGTGCTACAACAAAAACTTTTACGTTACATGGAGTGAGAAATGCCCAATGTTCAATTATTCCAGAAAGGAAGAGGCACTAGTGATCATATTGCCAATGTAGGGTGGCTATTGTACTGTATCAAAAATGTCAGAAGAATATCAGTCTATATTTAGACTATAAACATTATAGACATTATAGACTATAAACATTATAGACATTAGACTATAAAAAAGCCTTTGATTGTATGTACTTTATGGATTGTTCTAAAAGAAATGGACATGACTTGACACTTGATTTGTCCTGAAGCATAGCCTATATTCTAGACAAGATGGTCCTGTTAGGACAGCATATGTAGAAATGGAATGGTTTCCCAAAGGCAAAGTGTCGGACAAGGGTGTAGTTTACCTCCCTGTCATTTCAATTTGTGCTGAAAATATATCATACAGAAAGTAAAACTAGATTCAGATAAAGGAGGAGTAAAAATTGGTGGAAGAAACATCAGTTATTCAGGATATGCTGATGACACCATATTCCTAGCAAAAAGCAGCAATGACTTAAAATTACTCTTGGTAAAGATGGAATTGGAAAGCGCTAAAGCAGAACTGCAACTGAACATTAAAAAGACAAGAATCATGACAATAAATTGAAATTGTTAAAAATTTTGTATACTTTGTTTCAATCATCAGTTTAGATGGAGATTGCAGCCAAGAAATCAGAAGAAAACTGAGCCTCAGAAGGTCAGCTATGAAGGAACTAGACAGAAGCCTCAAGTGTATGGATATGTCATTGGAGACCAAACTGAATGTAATCTCCACTATCGTAGTTCCAGTTACAAAGTATGGGTATGACATTCTCGAAGGCTTTCACAGCTGGGATCCATGAAAGGTTTTTCACACTTTGAAATACTCACGTATCCCCCACACTATTTGAAATACAGTACTCAACTATCCCACACACTACATCAGGACACAGAGTTTTAACTCCTGTCCTCTGAAGATGCTGGCCACAGAGACTGGTAAAATGTTAGGAAGAAAAACCTACAGAACACGGCCGAACAGCCCCAAAAACATACAACAACAATGGGTGTGAAAGCTTGACAGTGACAAAAGACAACAGGAAAAAAAATTCATTTGAAACATAGAGTTGGAGGAGAACTTTAAATAATTTTGAAATAATACTAATGGGTAATGATTATAATACCAGTAATGATTGCTAACAAATCAGATTTTTAAAATTTTGAATCTTTTTTTACATAAACAATTATGTTTAACTGTTACGATTTTTTCTATTTACAAAAAAAAATCCTACATGATTGAAGCTTTAATTTTAAATGTCTTATGACTCAAAGATTTCATGGAATAGAGGTTGTGAACTCTAATTTTATATTATGCAACAATGCATTCATATATTGTAATTTTGAATCACCATCTCAAGCCGTCATGGCTGCAATGAATTACTTCTGGGAAAGACATCCAAAGATTAGGGTGGCCTATACCACCAATTCTGCCTATTTTTCAGAAGCTAAGTAGAGTTGAGACTGGTTGTAGTTGGATGGAAGACTAGTAGAAAATAGAAGGGCATCTAGCAAGAATGAATCCTGCCGGAAACTATGGAGAGCCACTGCCCCTCTTACTTAAGAATACTGGGCTGAGTGAACCATTGGTCTGGTTTTCTGGGATGAAAACGTCGTCTTCCTAACATTTGTGTTTCCAGTTACCACTTGCCAACCTTCGGATGGGGACACCAAAAGCAATTCCTCTGATAATGACCTGAGTGATTACATTAGACATTTCTGTGTGAAAGATGGCAGATTTCTGATTCTACCACCTAAAGGTATGTTGAGTGAGTGGTAACAGAGGGCTAATACACTGCACCGATTTCTGGAGCGGACTGCAGTGTGCTTTCCATGAGGCTTCAATCATGTAATGCAGTGGTCCCCAACCTTGGGCCTTGCAGTGTGCTTTCCATGAGGCTTCAGTCATGTAATGGATGCTGTGGTTGCAAGCACGCTAAAACATTGTTCCAACCAAAGCACTTTTTGTCCTCAGAGTTGTAGTTCAAGAACATCTGGAGGCCCACGGTTGGGGACCACTGATGTAACGGATGCTGTGGTTGCAAGCATGCTACAACACTGTTCCAACCAAAGCACTTTTTGTCCTCAGTCACCAACATGAAAGGGCAACAGAAATCCTTTTTAAACGAGAGAAAGTATAAAAGGATTTGTGGCACTTCCTTTATTTTGTGGCACTTCGTTTATTTTGACTGAAATGATAGGTAACCATAAAATTTAATGAAAGCTATGCTAGGCTTCTGGTTGTGTAGTATTCCACATTGTTCTAGATGTGTTCCATTGTTTTACATTATGCTAAAATCTCTGGCTTTGGATCTAGTAGGAATACTGTCCAAATTTTTGTCAGAAATGTATGTACGAAGCTGCTGACCTTGTGCAGTGAAAGTACAGCTGTTATAAACTGGGGATGCAGAGAACATGACAACTGTGTCCCTCAAACACAGACTGACAGAGATCTGAGGATTGGATGAATTCCTGTTAAAAATAGGGAAGTGGCAAAACTAATAAAAGGGACATGTGCTTGAAATGATGAAGCTGTTGTCTCAGGAACAGAGTCACAAGGGAGACAGAAGGGAACAGTTCTAGTTAATAGCATGAAGGAAAGTTTTTTTCTGTATGTTTTTATACTAGAAAGAAACAGAAGAATAAATGTCAAGGGTCATAGATGTTATTATTACAAAAAGAAACCTCATAAGAAGAGTAAATATGATGTCATTCAGGGCATGGTTCCTTGTTGGAAAAAAAACTGATTTTGAATCGGGTTTAGCATGTTTGAAATTTATTTTTAAAATTCTGCATACGTGGTACAGAGGAGAATGCAGATTTTTTTGCACAGGAAACGTGTTTTTGTGGTTGGAAAGTGAGGTATTTCGGCTGTGAGAGGATCATTTATTTTAAATCTCTAGTGAGATCAATTTATTTTGAATTGTTTCAGCATATCTGAATGCCTGTGTTGGTGTAAATTGTGTCTGTGGGGTTTGTCAAGTGATGGATGCCAGCATCACAATTTTAGTCTTCAGGGAAAACCTGAAGCCCAATCAGAGACAGAAAGGTTGGGTGAGGGAAAAGCACTCCCTCCTCTGCAAGCCTAAAAGATGCTGACCATCTCAATTTCTCTAGTCAGTTTCTCTTTGCAGGTCATTAGTGTGCCTTCCCTCTGGCCAATCCCAGATGCCAATTCCCTCCCTCCTTCTCCTTTTCCACCCCTCTCTCTGTGTGTGCGTGTGCGTGTACCAATCTGTTTTAATTTTTTTCTGTCTATCATACTGAACTAGCACTATGACAGACTGCAAGAAGTTAAACATATTTAATTTTTTTAAAAAAAAATACACTAGAGAAGCAGCAGCTAGTGACTCTGAGAGGCAGCCAGTGGGAGGGCAGGCGGGTGCAGGACAAAACCTCAAATGCAACTATTTTATTTTAATCTTAATCTTAGAATTGTAGAGCCAGTAGGGAGCTTGTTGGTAACTGAGTCCAGCCCATGTCAAGGAGGCACAGTGGAGAATTGAACTGCTAGCCTCTGGTCTCCCAGCCAGATGCCTATACCACTGAGCTATTTAAAAGCCCATGTTGCCCCCTTGACCAATATATAACATAGTTTAAAAATTGATTAAAATTTTTCCTAAGAAGCTGCACACACAACTCAAAAACCACGTAACTACCACATGACATTCAAATGAGTTCAAACTCCTCCCCTCAATCTATCTCCCATTTCATTTTCGTAGTGTAACTGCATCTTCAGACTCCTAAATTCTGAGCGACAGCATTTGACAGATGCACTCAGGGGGACAATTGTGTTGCAGTTAAACCTGCTTCTGGTTAAATCCAAAACCAAAAGCAGTGATGACATTTCCCTTTGTTTCCTAGCTACAGGCTGTTCTATTTGTTGTGTTCTGTTTGTTGGGCTGAATAGGGAATGAGAGCTAAGCAGAGGGAATTCAGCCTTTGCCTGCACTGCTCTACTCCTTCTGCAGATTCTCATCCCATATTCTGTTTCTTCCTTTGTTGCCTGAGCATGCCAGAAACATAAACTTTTAAGAATACAGGGAAAAGAATACTCAGAGTTAGCCAGTTGCTCTTCATTTTGATGGAAATGTTGTGCGTCACGAAAGCTTTTCTATGCCAAAAATCTCTGGGGAGGGTGGAGCTACTCTCCAAGGAATTCCTGAAAGGGAGGGAGGGAGAGTAAGCTTTATTTAGTGCTTTATATCTGTTATCACTATTCGTTCAGGTAAAGCAACCAGAAAAGCTGTAAGTAAATGAGCAAATGAGGGCAAACTCTGTTTCCTCTCTGTTAACCTTAGTTCACTTTAGCTTTATTTAAGAGTTATATAATCTGTGGAAAACAAGGAGGGCACTCGAGTCTTCCCCCACTTCCATCACAAGCAAAGGGGTAAGTCTGAAGAGGGCATCTGCCATCCATCAAGACTCTGCACCTGAGTTGCTATCTTAATTTTCTAGCCTTCTGACCCATGCAGAGAGCCCACAGAGATAGTAGTCTCTCCCTTCAAATGCATTACCCTCCACATGTTGGCCAGCAGCCAAAGTGATGATGGAAGGGGAGGGCTAGAGCACTCACTTCTTCAAGTGAGCTTTCTCCATAGGTAATAACACAGCTTGTAAACACAGAATCACATCCAATTCTTGTGCAAGGCTCATACACTCTTCCAGCCAATGGATAGGTGAATGAAGAATCCTTCATTTATGAGCAGTGTCATTCAAAAACACTGTTCTGTCACCATAGCGGAAAAGGTCATACATACTGAGGTCTCTATGTCCTTCATTTTTACCAGTTGCCTGCAGTAAAATTTTTCTTTCTCATGATTCTAAAGCAAGGACACAGATAATGTCTGCAAAAATAAAAACCATCACCACTATACCAAAATAACCCAAGATATGAAACATTTTCTTTTTAACATTTTGGTACCTAGCAGACATGAAGGTTGAAGGAATACAAGTGACTTGGGGAAAAATATCAGTAAAGTATTACTGGCTTGCAGAGGGGAAAACAAACTGTAGAAATGTTCTTGACTGAATTTTTCTAGCCAGGTCTGGAGGCAAGGTACTGTATTACAAAGAAAGAGTGCTGTAACATTTCAGGTATTTCTCTGAGCATCTGTGTCTTTCAGCAACTATAATGTATTGCCAAGTGATGTTCAGGTAATGCATGGGTTTGGGAGGTGGTACCATTCATACAAAATTGTCATAATTTACACAATATTTTCACAATTGTCTTATACAACAAAAATATTTTTTTGTTTCTATGTTGTCTTCTTGTTTTAAGCTCCTAGGCTAAATCTGTGTCTGGTAGTGAAACTGGATGATGCAAAATGAAATATAAAAGAAATGTAGCACAAGATCACTCATGCCTTGGCTGAGAGTTTGAGCGGATGAACCTTAGGATCCTTCCAACTCTAAAATTTCATAATTCTATGTAATTCGGATTGCAAGACAAGACAGTGACAGAATATAGGCCTATTTCTCACCTATTTTGGAACCGATATAAGGTCAAGGATGGAGGAGATATGAATTTAATACATTTACTTCAATGTCTGAAGGATTTAGATACACACACAAACACACACAGGCAGTCAGCTCTAAATCATGAAGGTTCTAGGCCTTAGCATACTCCCAACAGTTTCTTAGAAAAGATACTGTTAGTACTTGGTTTCCACATAGACTGGGAGGGAACCTCTTTATCTCAAATTAAATTTCCATTTTGCATAACTTACTGGAGGAAAAAGGCAACAGAATGAGTCTTATCCAGACTGGGAAGGGGTGAAGCCCTACTGAAAAGACCTAAATGTGATGTATCTGAGGCAACAAGCCTGCATTGTTGTTGTGAGTAGCAAGAGATGGAAATTAAATGCACCAGACAGCAGCTTTGGTCCTGCTGCAGCCTCCAACACTGAGCCACTGGAAGAGGCAGGAACAGGAGGAGACTTAAATCAGCAATAAAATGGGAATGGCAAACTGAGCTGTCTTAGGTTCCCAATACATTTCAAATGAAGACATGCTGAAGGTCCACAAAAGCTCCTTAAACCTGGCAGGGTTCTTTTGCTTGATTCTCATTTGCACCAACTAAAATGGGTTTAAAATAATGGACTCCTGAGTTTGTGGGACATGGATTCATTGTGTCAGTAGGTAAAAGTTATCATTATGTTCCTCTACCTTACACAACTGTTATATAAAAAAGGTTGCAGTGTACTTTTCTATATTGTATCACATTATACATGCCAGTATATGATAAGCAAAACATAACCCTTTTTCTGAAATGGAGTAACTTTCAGCTTCAACTCAACCAGATGTACAGTGCTGACATGTCCATAGATTGTGCATAGTTCTCAGTCAACTGTCTCATGTGAAATATTTTCCTCGTTTTGATAGGTAGAGAAATGTATTTTCTTACCGTATTAGTTGGATGGTAGTTAAGATGTAAACCACTGTCACACAAAGGTGATGATGTGCCACTGCTTTGATCACTAGGAATGCCTAATCAAAAAAATAAATACATATAAAAATGTATCACAGATTATTGAACTACTAACATTTCACAGTCAGAATTGGCACTTGTTTTGCCATGGTTAGAAGTAGGCTACACAGAGAACAAAACTTGGTTTTTTTCTTTAATGAATAATTGAGATGCTACATTTTGCTGTGAGATCTACAAGAAGAAAGGTCATGTAAACAACTCCAAAATACTCAGTCAGTTTTCTTATCATTGTGATTTCTGAGGGATGTCCCACCGTTAACAAAACACTTTTTATGGGAAATTAATCTCTGTACCGCAAGTCTCTGATACATCATGACAACTGTACCATCAAATACATTGTCCTCATTCAGATTTTATATTATGCTGTAATTTTGTAAAGGTTGGGCACTTTTGGAAGGCCTGAAGGAAAATTTCAGCTCTACATATGGCATCATGCGCTACACCCTGTCAAACATAAGGGGTTCAGTGGCAAACAGAAGTGCGAAAACATCACTTCTCTACATCAAATTTCTGTGCTAAAAGAAGGTCTGTAGGTAACCTACTCTAATGTACATCCTACTCTACAGGAAATCCACAAGCCAAGAAAGCTCTTCTCCATTAAAACAAGGTGTGTGTGTTTCCCTGTATGTTTTGTTTTAATATAGACAGGCCTCCCAAGTATAAGCAAAATTGTGCATCCCCAATGACATCAAAATCTGTACAAATGCTTAATTTAAATTAGCATTGCAATCCAAAGATACAGTGGTTGTAGGGGCTTTGGAATGAGGAGAAGCCTCTTGTCAACTGACACAACTCCCCTTATGCCAGAACAAGGGTCATGTGTTGATTAACCTCAAAATCCATCAGTACAGCTTTAAGTGACTCTTTGACAACTCTACCAGCCGTCTGAGATAGTTAGTCTTATGCCCTAGGATATGTTGGCATTGTTAACATTCTTTGACATGTAACAAGGCAGATTTGTACAACAATTAGAACAGTTCATGTTAGCCAAAGGACTGGACTCCATTTTTGATTTTGTTTTACATAATTGTTTTGTAATCAGTACAGCACAAAGACAAATTTCAATCATCACCCGTTTTATCTGTGAGCAAATATAATAGATGTTATCACTTTCATTATAAAATAGAAAACATAAAAAAAATATTATTCAGAAATGTTGCCTGAGGAGTTGCTAAATATTCTCTGGTCCCTCTGTTGAAAAGCTTCATATTTCCATTGATATTTACTATTAAGCCACTAAGGTACAAAATCAATGTGGTTCCAATGTTATAAAATTTTCTTTATCTAAACAGTCTTTTGTTTATAAGGGGAGCAAAAGTGGGCACTCTGTTTTTGGAATGTGAAAGGAGTGAGAAAAGGAGCACTCAAATAAAGGATATTCCTCGTTAGTATATATTTACTGACCACTAAGTAAATCAGCACTATGGGAACAAACAAACACATTCAATCAGTAATTATTTGATGAAATTAAGGCTTGTTAAATTAATTTTAGAAGTATGTTTAGATATGTTTAGATGTTTAATTTTTTTTCTTAATAAAAATTTAGGCAATTAAAACACATATAAAGCCATGCTGTAGCTCTCAGAGTGTGCACTAGAGGTGGGCATAAATCTGAAATGTGGTTCATGGTTAGCCATGAACTATGAACCATGAAACCTGAACCACTATGAACCAACGGGAAAAACAAAACCGGTTCGTGGTTCGGTTTTCCCTTTGAGCTCAGTGGTTCAACTACCTGCTCCTATTGTGCTGTTGCCGCTGCACTGCTGCCCCTGCCGTCCTGCCTCTGCCACCATCTTCAGAGACAGCAGAGGAAGAGGAGGAGGAGGCAGGATCAGATAGGGAGGTGACAGGGGCAATGGGAAGGAGATGGTGGGCATCCATTTTGCCAAAACAAAATGAGGCCCCAAGTGGATAAAAAGTTTGGTACTTTTTTTTCAGCAAAATGGGTTGCACAGATCAAACCATGAGCAGAACCACAAAACAGACCATTTCATGTTTTTCCCCAGTTTGAAGTTCAGTTCATGCCCATCTCTAGTGTGCCCTAACACAATCCTACAATTCAGAACTATAATGTAGGACTTATTAAAAATGCAAGAGGAAGACATGATTTTGCTATTTTCCTAATTTTGCTATTTTCCAGTGGGACTAATCAAAGAGAATGGCTAAACTAAAACAAAACACTAATCATGACCAACTGCCTTAATCATCACTCAAGATGATATAGCTGCTAAAGCTGATGTTTCAAATGTGGACGAAAATGTTTTCAAGATGTATACATTCACAGTTATTTGCCAAGAATGAGAAGGCATTGCAATTAAACTTTCCCCACTTCTCTGCCATTAACTATTAAATAAAGGAGGATTTTTTAAAAAAAAAATCACTGGACATATTATTGTTAAGTTTAAAACCTTTAATAGCACTCAACTGATTTCTAAAACGAATATTAAAAATGAATGCTAGCAGTGTACCTGTGACAGGAGAAAGCTCTTATTGAAACTACAATATTTTAAAGGAAAAAAATATGAAATCAACAGTTCACAAGATTACAATTTTTGTCTTTTTTTTCACTTCACTCAAACTGCCCCTTCTCTACCTCTCCCCCTTGAATTTATTTATTTAATTTATATGCCGCCCACTCTACCCAAAGGTCTCTGGGTGGCTTACAACAATTAAAATACAATTAAAAGATAATAAAAAGATAAAACAATTAAAATACAATTAAAATAGATACTCTAAAAATGTAAATAAATGTGTACACTCTTTATGTAAAACTGGCAAGCAACCACCAATTTACAGATTAAGCACACTTTAAAAAGATTATATGATCTGGCCCCCAAGTTACCTCTGAAAGACTGAGATTTATTCCTTTGAAACAATAATGAATTCTTACATGCACAATCTTCATTAAGAGGCAGTTTAAGAAATGCAGGAGCTCTTTTAAGGAAGGACACAGTCAGGGTCACCTCTTCCCCAGCATTCCGAAGAACTTGGACCTGAGGATTAAATAAAAAGAGTAGTTGTAACAAGAGTAGATGTGCAAACTCAGTGCTTCATTCCTAATCCCTCAGATGCTCACTGCACAAATATTAAAATAAAAGAACAATTACAGCAAATTTGTTGGTTTGGGAAGATATTTTATTCTTTCCTCACCAGATCTCAATTATTTTGAGTCATGTGTTTAAAATCCATTTTCAAACACATGACGGATTTCAACTAGAAGTCTGGGAAGAAGGGACAGTGGTCTTCAGAGCTAGCAAACTCAGCCTATAGCACCTAACACTGTGATCGGAGCACTGTGGGAATGTGTGGGTTCACTCCTTTTGACAGTGATCACATGACATAATAACTGGAGTGAACCAAATTATCTCTAGAGTATTTCTACCCACACCTTTCTGGTCCCTGACAGGAGCTTCTGCTTTCTCGATGCAGGTAGGATCATTTCGATTGTGAGTGGACCAAAAATGAGCATTTTTCTAATATGCCAATACTGTGAAGTGACTTAAGAAAAGAGGCAATTCACGATTTTGGTAAATTTATCCCTTTCTCAGTTGTTTTATTTTTTTAAAAAAGCGTGTGTTTGGGCAGCAAATATGAGTTGCATCATTTTAAAAACCTAAGAGATGAATAAGTAAGCAAATGTGTATTGAGGAAGTACAGGACAGCCTGTCAAAATACACATTTGCCTTCCTAACCCACATGAGCTTTCTAATAGTCCTTCAGGCTTTAAAACCGATGTAGCCAATATCTGTTGCCCTAATACACACTTAGCTTTCCTTTCACTACTTCAGCCCCTCCATGGAGCTGATGAAGTGATTAATATGCCAGTGTAATGAAGGGGCTCTCTTCTGAAGGGATATATGTTATTTGGATAAAAGGATTGCACAAATCCTAGCGACCTTATTTACCTTGTCCCAGCCCACTCCAATTGCCACATGTAGACAACTCCTTAGTTCCCTAGAAATCAACAGCTAGCTAGACACTTGAATTAACTGTCCCAGGTGAACTGAACACAGTAACCTTAGTGCTAAACAGGAAGGTTTTGGACAAAACCATTTTTCCTCAAGCCATAAAAAAAAAACCTCATTGTGATTTGCACTAACTGTCAACCCATCCACGCCCCCGGCCTCCAAGCAAGAAGTAGATCATATTGTTTGGTAGTCAGAATAGAGATATACTGTGGGGGGAAAAATACAATGTGTCTGTGGGCGGTAGTACTTTTGAGTCCTTTGATAGAAAAAGGATACATTGCCACGGCTCCTCATGTTACATCAAGAACCTTCATTCTCACCAGTTCACAATTTAAAAGCCATGTTCCCCCCCCCCCACTGGTACCTGAATTATCCAGAGTTCCTTGATTCAGGTTATCAAAAACATTCTCACTAGGTATGAAAGCCAGAGAATCCATCAAAAAATGAATTGCCTGCCCCTGAGCAACTCTCCCAGAGACAGGCAAATGTTTCACAGTAATTTGACATAGTGCGACTCATGTAGACTTTGCTGAACAATCCTTTCTGAAAGTGGGACATGTTTGATCTCAGGAAATATCAAAGACAATGTCACTTGGAAGGTTGTAGAGAGTAGAACGCCACTCACAGACGAATGTACACAAAGAACTGAGATATCCAAAAAAGAGCAGATACAGACAGCACAAACAGATTATGATTAGAAGGAATTCCTTAACCGCTTAAAGTGTCTTAGTGCAAAGCAGAAGCTCCCCTCCCCTCACACCATGTCTAAAGTAGCTTGTTTGATAACTGATTGGTCTTCAGGACTCAAGCACAGGATTCATTTGAAGTCTGATTTTTCAAATATCAATCAATAGTGGCCCTCCAATGTTAAAGTGCTATCAGCTGAAATCATAAATTATCTATGCCACCATTTTCTGCCCTAATAGAGGGCACCTGCCTTCCAACCATAGCAAGCATGGAATGTTAAAATAACTTTATACCATCAAAGCATTCAGAAACACATCTGATTTTGTCTGATTTCAGGAACAAATCTTTTTTAGTATTCGGATGGGAAATGACCATAGAATACCAGGTGCCTCCAGAATGGGCTAAGAAAAGTCTTGTGTGAAATCCTGGAGAACAACTGCCAGTCAGAATTGGGAATGTTAGGCTAGAAGGCCCAAAGGTATAAGAGTATAAGACAGCTTCCCCATGCCAGCATCTTTGGTGCAATCAGGGTTGATTAGAAAGAACTTTCTCACCTTTTCCGGGTTTTTCCTTTCTGAACCTCCCCTCCCCCCCCTCCCTGCCCACCACTGCCTGTAATAATCTCTTTCTTGTGGCAGCTGTGATATCCCTCTAAGAGGGGCAATTCACACAGAGAAAAAGACAAAAGCAACAGGTTTGACTCCTGAGACCCCTTCCCCCAGTACATTTCAGGAAGAACACGAGCATAAATTGCAAAACTGTTTAAATAACTATATAAAGCAAGTACAAACGAAGAGAAACCTTCAAAGTGAGAAGGCCTAGACTATACTATTGTCAGTGGGCTGCTAAAGGAATAAAAATGACAGCACTTTATCTCCCAAAGTACCTTCTCTTTATACATCAGACGTTTTCCATCTTAATTTCCCCAGAGATCATGTTTCAGAGAACATTCATCTGAGCCCTCGTACACACAAGTTAAAATTCATGCTGCTAATACCTTTGTCGTCTTAAGTCAGTTTAGAATTCACATATTGCTTTTCATTTAGAATTGAATAACTGTCCTTATCATACACCAATGCATGTATTCAGTCTTCATAAAAAGTACAAAATGCCTTATTTGTTTTTGCCGTTACATACCTCAACTGCTTCTATGGAAAGGAAAAGCACACCGTTGGACCCCCGGGTTACAATACTGTCTATTTAAGAATATGGTTCCCAGAATCCCTTTAGACTGTTATGCTTTATATCACTTAGATTCCCCTTGACATTTAGCTTAGTGGTGTCCGACTATAGGGTGGGGTGCTCATCACCGTCTTCAAGCCATAGAGCCAGCATTTGTCTGTAGACAGTTTCTATGGCCACGTGGACAGGGCAACTAGACAAGGAATGCCGTTACCTTCCCACCGAGATGGTACCTATTTATCTACTCACATTTTTACATGCTTTCAAACTGCTAGGTTGGCAGGAGCTGGGACAAGCGATGGGAGCTCACTCCATCACGTGGATTCGATCTTACGACTGCTTTTGACCTTGCAGCACAGAAGCTTCTGTGGTTTAACCTGCAGCGCCACCACGTCCCTTTATATCACTTAGCAAGTTATTAATAAATTCAACCCTTTGCAGTTTCTCTTTGCCATCTGGATTAACCATTGCCCACATCCTTTGTTCTCAAACACCTCTATCAAAACTAAGCACACAAAGAGGAGCTAGTCCCTCCCAAGATTACCATTGCTTTATTCCTGTGAAGATTAACTGATTTGAAGTGAGAGTTTCACATGCATGTGAAGGCCCTTCATGCATACCTTTTCCCTGACCTTCCATGGATCTGATCATTGGGAGTGCCTCCATATGTACACAAAGTTCTCCTTTTCTGATGTACAATGTTTAACGTGATCAAGGTGTGTATGGAAGAGGTAGGACTAGCACACTGCTTTCCTTGTGTGTTTAGTTAAGCTCTTCTAAAAATGCATTGTCAAAATGACCCAAAGGCCTAAGTGAAAAGGTATGTCTTACGTAACAGATAGAACTCATTTGCTGGAAATGCATCATCACTCCCAGAATTAGAGATTGCAGTGCAGGCACCATAACCAAGAAGTCATCTGTTCACCTCTGTGCTGCCTAGGCACTGACCAGTTGAGGATCACAACTCTGGTCATTTCAAGGCCGACTGATGCAATACACTTCACCTCACCTTTATGAAAATGAGGGAGCACACTGAAACTGTACAGAGTTTTATGCTGCATACCCCTTCAGTCTAAATATTCCAGTGACAAACAGGTATGTAGTTCAAGGCTGACTGATGCAATACACTTCACTTCACCTTTATGAAAATGAGGGAACACAGTGAAACCGTCCAGAGTTTTATGCTGCATACCCCTTCAGGTCTAAATATTCCAGTGACAAACAGGTATGTATAGTGAGAAGAACTCCAGCCAGTACTTGGGTCCCAGGTCACTCAGAGCTTTATAAGTCAATCTCTACACCTTGAGGCATAGTTGAAAGTGAAGAGACAGACTGCACAGACTGCAGAGAGTAGCTATCATTTGACTCTTGGTTTGCATGCCACTCCGCAGCATTCTGCACAAACCAAAGCCCCTAAATCACGTTCACACCTTGAGGCATAGTTGAAAGTGAAGACTGCACAGATTGCAGAGAGTAGCTATCATTTGACTCTTGATTTGCATGCCACTCTGCAGCATTCTGCACAAACCAAAGCCCCTAAATCACGTTCAGGTGCAAACCTACTTCTTCAGGGCAAATGCAATGGTGCTTTGCTGCATCCAGAACCTAGGAACACCTGAGACCACCAGGGAATCTCTTGGTTTTCACAGGATTCCGTCTCCGTTTTAAAACTCTGAAAGCTGCTCCAAATTAAAGTTCAATATAACCTTTGAACAACATGAAGCATTTATTTTGGAATAAGAAACTGTACCTATTATCAAATGGAAAGTAAACTACAGTCTGTCCAACCTTAAAGGCCAAGATTTTAATCTTGCCCCACGCCCCCTCAGCTTAGAGATCACAGATTTACTTCAAGTGAGCAGTCTCAGAATGTACATGTACAGTATGTACTCAAAGCTAAGGCTACAGTAGAGAAAGCAGTGACTGAACTAAATGCCTTTTGCTCAACACGCCATTACTGTAACAATGCTGTAGAGCTTGCCAGAGACAGATCCTTCAAGAAACTGCTTCATATTTTAAATACGTTGAGCACTGATATACTACATATGTATTTTAGTATTTAAATTACAATAGATAATAGACCTGTGTTTATTGATCTAAACCTGTTATTGAAATGCAGGTAGAGGAACTCCAGAGAAAGATAGGAATGCATACAA